ATTAAAACTGAAACCTGACCAAAGATCAAAAGTAATTTTGTTAAATCTCAGTCAAACAAAGAAAAATCGTTGTACTGGAAAATGTTTCATGTCATTGCCAGATTCATTTCGTTTTTTGCGCTCGTATACCCTGTAAAACTTGAAAGGGCGTGGCTGACTAAAGAATCGTTGGGCACAGTTATTAACTTTGTGTATTTTTCAGCCACATGCTTAACAATTATTATAATGCACAAAATCATCTTTAAGGATTATACATAAGTTGCGATTCTTTGTATATATAGGATATGTTATAGTCGTGCACTGGTCCATATCCGATTCTTTTCTGTTCGCGCTTAAATTTAATTGAGGCTGCAAATAGCTGGCCTCTGGTTAGCACATGAAACATGGTAAATGGTAAATGGTAAATGGTAAATGGACCATGGTCCGTTGGGTGCGCACTTCAGGCCTGAATTGTTACGGTCGAGGTTTGTGTCTAGTCTGTCAATCAATTGTAATGAATACGCATATTTGTGAAACTCCATCCAGGGGATGTGCTGGAGCGTAGTTTAACTCTCGGCTTATGACGGCGTTCCTGCAAATAACCCTGAGCTGTCTGGCAACGCTGTTCAAATTGGCAACCCTGACCTGACACATCGAATTTCCAAGTGACACTTTTTGACCAACTTAACTTAAAGCATTTGCAAAACTTCAGTTCTCATGGACTACCAACTTCTACAGAACTTTAGGCTCTCTTTGATTTGTTTTATTCAGCTATATTTTACGATTTTTTCAGTGAACTTAAAACAAGTTTTGCTAAGTATTCAACAAAAAAATATTAAGATGGGCAGGTTTCTTTGTAAGCAACATGGTAAACAGTCTTCAGCCAGTCAGTCTAAGGGCTTATTAAAAAACTACCTCAGAAAATAAAAGCTGCGACTTTTAATGCTAATAAGCTGTCTTGAGCTTTGCTGTTATGATATCATATGTAGCTTAAAGGTGTTGGCTGAGTTATGATTAGAAATAAAAACTACTTTAGTAAATATATTTAACAAGCTCTTTCGCTCTTTCGCTCTTGTTCATGTCTCCGACTTCGAAGTTTTTCCCTTTTTTCGCGCATTCCAGCCTTGTAATTTCTGAGAAATACCAACGATTACAATTTGCAACTATCCCTATTAGAAGACATTCCGCTGCATTCCCTGGGAATTGTGTGTACAAAGTGCTGGATAGTTAAATTCTCAATTTAAAGCCGCGAAGACAAACCGCAAATTGAATTAGGCCCCAATGCGGCCGCGGCAAGAAAAACTTGTGTATTCAAAGTAATTTGCAAAGAAATTACATAAAGGAAAACAAGTGCCGGTGCCAACAGGCACACACACAACACACACACACACACACACACTTAACGCCCACATGCGATCCAGAGCAGGCCGCGGTTTGCCAATTTAGCTGAAATAAAACGCCCACATGAACTACATGATGTCTGCACCACTCTGCACCACACTGCACCACTCACTGTGGGGGCAAACCGGCAGCCCAACTCAATTCATTCATTGAACCAAAATAAAGCAGAAAAATCAAATAAAATAAAATAAATACAGCGGAAAATTCAAATCAATTTGGCGCAAACCGCAAGGCCCAAGTATCCCAGCGATTCGCATAAATCTAATAAAAAAACAAAAAACAAAATATATGTGTGCGGCGCATGCGTAGCGCGCAGCCGGAGTAGGGTTCGAGGGGGGCTCCCCCACTTTTGCGCCGCAATAGCTGCATAATTTTGCAATTTAGATGCATTTCCCAGCGCATTGTTTGAGTCTGAGCGAAGAGCACTGAGTACATTGACTCACAAGTAGAAGACACTACGCATAGAGCAGAAAATTAATCTGCTTAAAATCCATGAAACTAGAATTATGTCTAGGAATTGCTTACAATATAAGAAGGAATTTGTAAGTAGTTCAAGCAACGCATTCTCGAGTGGGCGAGAGCTGCAAAGAAACCAACTTTAGGGACAGAAAAGTGTGGAGAGCGGATCTTCAACAGGAAGTCTACCAAGTGAAAAAATTCAATACTAGTAATTAACTTAATAAATTAACTTACACACAATCTCAGACAAGCTCAGACAATCTTAGACCTGGCGAAGTCTTTCAGCTCGAAATGCAAATATTCTGGCATATTTAAGGCAGCTTAAGTCCCATAAAATTTCTTTGAACATAAGACTTGTATTAAACACAAATTGATGTGTGGTTATTAGAGTAAAAACATACTTCTATATAACTGTTGCAAGTCTTCCAGCCTGTTTTATTAAACTATTTTAATTGTTTTTGCTCTTATCCAAAGTTATTTTGTATGGAAGTCTGCTCAACAGGGCCCTCCACTGGCTGTTGTATGCATGGCCCTTATTTGGCATGCCTTTGTCGACACTCATTGTTGTGGGTATTTGCGTCAATTGGTGGCCAACTGCTAGACAAAGGTAGCCCAGTTGCAAGTTGCAACCCCAACTGTTTGCTGCACGAACATTTGTCGGTGGCATCTGCCGCGCTTGCGCTTGACAAGCGACACGCCAATTGTTTGGATGACATTTTGTAAATTGTTTGTACGCGAGCGGGTGTGAAGTCACGAGGAAATGTCAAAGACAGGGCGCACTTGTTGCCACAGCAACTGCTCATAATTTGAGCCATGTGCCACAAGGGGCAAGGGCTCGACTGCAGTCGAGGGTTGCTGAAAATTTGCATGGCCACAGCTGCGGCACCTTGTCCACTTCTGCTGGCTACGCTTACGAATTCCCATGACACCGGTCGAAAGTTCAAGCTGTGTAGAGTTCAAAGTTTGTGCCACACGATAAGGCGGCAGCAACAGACAGCACACAACAACGTGGTCTGTTCCTCCGGGGGCCCCCAGACTGTGCGTCGTGGCTGTCGCTGGCAGCTGGCGGCGGCCCACGCGGCGACTGCGCAGAGAACCTGGCGAAACTATGTAAAAGAAAAACGAGAAACGAGCGGGAACGGATATACGAGTCTAGTCGACTATCAAATACCCTATTAGCTGTACAATATGGCATATGAACAGCAGCAAAAGCTTTCAGGCTTGATTTAAATTTCTCGAGTATATCTCCTTTTGACAGGCAGTCGCAAACAGGAAGAATAAATAGTTGCAAGAGTATATTTATATTTTAGATAGGGTATAGCCCGTAGAAAAAATCATGAAAAATACTTTGGCTTTTGATTTGCAATAAATAAAGCCAAGCAAAGGCAAGGAAAATAGCTGGCAGACTTTGTGTATTGAGTGTTTGTCAAGTGGGCATGAATGGAAGCCCAGACGACGCAGATCGAGCCGCTGCGCTTGTAATCCACTTTACGACGACCGGACGTGGTTCTTGTTGGCGTCGACTTTGCAGTTCCCACTCACTCACTCACTCACTCACTACACAAACAGGAATTGCAGCCTGGCACTCTTGGCTGGGCTTCAAATAGGACGTTGAATGCTTCAGAGTTACAAAGGCCTCGTGCAATTTCCATATTTTATGGCACTGTCAAGAGCGGAGCATAAAAAAAACTCATATGAAATCCTTTTCGATGTGCAACATGCTAATCATGTATTCTTGCTCAACAAGTTGGCTTTCCTGCTGCTCAAAGGAAGCTCAGCCAAACTCTTTTAGCTGCTTTTTTTAATAGAAAAGTAACTAATGTTGGATTTGGCGTGCTTTCCTTTTTAACGTGAAAAACAAATAACTACTATTTCTTTATCAATTTTAAACAACTATTTCGGTTCGAGTTTCGATTTGCGAAACAAGTTCTCTTGTCATTATAACTGCTATTCTCAGCACTTTGCTACCAAATTGTAAACATTGCAACGAAAACTGCGTCAACGAATTCTGCGGCTGATTGTTGCACACATTTTTACATAATGTTGACACAGAAAGACAAAGTGCTAATAGAAATAATAAACCAAGCGATCAAATTAAATCAATTAATGTGCAGCCAACAGAAGAATTCCTCCGATTGCCTCTTGTGGCAGGCAGCGATGCTCAGTGGCTTGTGGCTCGGTCAGGGGCAGGAACAGGGGCAGGGGAGCAGCTGCAGCTACCGATGCAAAAGATAAATACGAGATATCAAGAGACGACTTGCAACTCAAGATTGGCAGTTACAGTCCGGGGGAACCACAAACGACATTTAATTGACAGTCACAATTTATGCAAACGGTTGCAAAAAAAAAACACACAGAAAAAAATAAATATAAATAAATAAACAAGTGCAGCGCGTTGCAAGCCGTAATTGTGACTGTTAAGCGTGGAAATTGCTTTGACATGAGGCAAACAAATTCAAAAATTCAAAAAAAAAAAAAGGCCAACAGGCAAATCAAACTGAATGACAATATTTGTGCATAGAATTTGTGACGATTTGTTGGACAAAAACTCGAATGAATTCTAGAATGATAAAAAGAAAATGAAAGAGAATTTACATATTAGAGACTAGATTAGGTTAGATCTGTAATATATATATTCCTATATATATATATATATTCCTTTCATTTTGTTTGCTTTCCATGCATAATTTTTATCATAAAATAATTTAATAATACTTATTAGAAAATTTCAATTATAACTGATTATAATATTTAATTTTTAGTTAAATGTACTTAGATAGCTTTTTAAATTTAATATTTCTATTCAAAAACTTAGAAAATGTTCCTGTTGATATTCACCAAAGTTCGGCTGTCACAACTTCAATCTTAAATCTGAAAATTTCTATAAATTGAAAATTAATGAGAATATTTTGATCATAAATTAAATTTAAATTTATCTTTGACTTTTGAGTCCTGTCAGCTTCCTATGCCTCGCCAATCCATAAAAAAGCTCAGCCCTTCATTTTAGTAAACGTTTAAGCTTAGACTTTAATACCTTATGTTAAATGCCGCTTAATGATAAACACTTTTTTATGGCAAACTGTAAATACAAAATGTATATGTAAGCCGCATGTTTAGCACATACTCATACTCATTCCATTTTCTTCTACTTCATTTTACAGATCTTCAATCGATTCGACGGCTCTTGGAACACGATGCCAGCGGCTCGGTCTGCCCCTCGTGCCGCATCTCCTTCGATAAGGGCAAGCGACGGAAACTGATCGACACCTGCGGACACGAACGCTGCTATTCCTGTATGTTCCGCAACGATCAGTGCCCCATGTGCATGAACAGCTCGCTGAAAGGTGAGTAGCATACGGTGTCTCTCTCCTATCTACGGGATATGCCATATATGGCATACAAATATGTGTTGGCAGCAGCCAGCCCTCGAAAGCTGAGTGCAAGGTGTTGTGTCGAGTGTTTTTTTTGTTGCACTCTTATCTCGGAATGCACCATTTAAGAGTATATGTTTATGTTTTATTTATTTTTTATGATTTCCCCTCAATTTGTTCACAAAATACTTTAAAGAGGGAAAACATTTATTTGAAAACAACAGCAAATTACGGATTCTTGACAAACTTTTGTTAAGCATACCTTTTGTAGCTTTTAAGTAATATCATTTTTATAGCTTGCAAGACATAATTACAAACTATCTGCAGACTATGCCGAGGATGAGAATTCAAGTAAAATGTTCCTAGTCTTGAATTACAAATGTTTTGTTAGTTCATGTTTATCTAAGTTCGTTAAAAGTTGTTCGATATATTAAGCTTAAATTATATTTATGCTAATTGTAGATATCTTCATTCGCTCATTTCACAAAATTATATCGATACTTCAGACAATTGCCAAGTACTCTTTCACTAATTTCTTAATCAGCGCCCTACCAAATAGGTTTACTATCTAGCAAAGTTTTGCCACCTGACAGTTCTTATAAAGTTATTCGATATATTTTGCTCAGCTAGCTTATTTTTGTACTTGTTCTCACAATTGCCAAGTACTCACACAATATTTTTTAAATTTGTTTTTTAATTGTTTTGTTAGTGAATGCCTTTCACATGGAAACACAGTTCGTTAACTATATTTCGATACATTTGGCCAAATTTATTCTATTTTTAAACATCTGCACTCGCTCACTTGTGTACTTGCCATATATCGATACTTGAGACAATGGCCAAGTACTCACTCACTAATTGCTTACTCACTGCCCTACAACCCGTTCGAACTGTAGCACTTAATTAGCTATGCTAATAAGCTCTGGGCCCGGGGCACTGGCGATCGGGCATCGGGCATCGGGCATCGGTCAAGCCAAGCACAAGTTGTACGATATAGCAACCCATTACCATAAATAAATCGAAGACAGAAACCACTTACCAGATCATAAATTCACACGGGACGACTGTGAACTGTGTACGATGGGCAGCCGGGCAATAAATTCAGCGGCTAGTTGGGCGTGCACAGTGGGGCCATAGAAAATCATGTCAGCATTAACTAAAAACGGGCATAACTTTCAATTTTCATGGGCAATGGGGCAGCGGTACCTCTGTTCAGTCCGATACTTTATGAAGTTAACCGACGAGTACGTTGCAAACGTACTTTGCATGCCAAACAGCAAACACACACTCGCACAATTGGCATATAAATTGAACAACAAACGTTGCGCGGCTTAGAATAACAAATGTAAATGTACTTCTGGTATAAAGGCATACATAATAATATATATATATAGGTATTACACTTTGCATACAGCGCGCGATCGATCAATCAGCAGAAACCTTTGCTTCCTTCCATTTGCATGCTGTCGGGTCTATATAAGGCAGCTGCTTTATTTATATAATCTCCATGTGATTTATTTAAACACAATAAATACTAGTATTATTAATCGACAGTCTTCATTCGCACGAGTACAAAATGCAATATATATGTATATCAAATTGAAATATTTTTTGCCGAAGAATTTCTACATTAATATTAAAATTTGAGCTCAAAACAAAAATTCTGATGCAAAATCATGAGCTTGATCCACACGAGTATGAAATGCTATTGTAATCCAAATTCGGTTTATATTTCGCCAAGATTTACCAAAAACAAAAAAGACAACTACAACTAGAACTTCGACACGCCGAAGATTTAATACCCTTGTATGTGTGGGATATGTTAACTATTCCCTCATCATTTGTATCTACATTTTTAATTTAGACTGACAACAGATGCCATTTGCCATTTCAGTCGATTTTGATGAAAATATATTATAGAATATTCTATTTTAATGCCAAAGAATAGTAAAAATAGTCTAACATTTCAACATGGAAATCGATTTGAACCATCCAATTTGTGATGAATCCCTAGTTACATCAGCCAAGGTTTCAAATATAGGACATAGCTGTCATAGGAACGAATAGTCGAATGATTATTTCCACTATTCTTCTTCACTTTACTATTCTCAAATAACCGCAAAATCGTAAGGCAAATATCTACAAGAGTATTAAATATTCAGTGTGTCAAACAAATTCTTGCTTTTTCCTACGAATGTCAATTGATGTTCGTGAACCAAAGAAGCTAAATTATATATATAAGTAAATTATTGTCTAAATAATATAATTTAACCTTTATCGTGTATTATGCTGTTTAATTTTCAATATATTTCTTAGATCCAGTGTAAACTCGCTCCTCTTGCAACTTTTTGCACACCTTGTGGTATAAAAATGTTGATGGCTTTCTTTTGTTGTTGCTGCCTCGATTAACTTATAATTTATCTAAATATTCTCCCCGCTCTCTTTACACTCTTCCACATAGATGTTGATGGCGCCAATGCTCAGGGCTATGACACCGGCATCGGGGGCTCCACATCGACGATTGTCAGTCCGTTGGGCTCCCCTCAGCCGCAGCTGAGATCCCATGCGCAGCGGAACGCGGCTCTGGCGCGTTATATGCAGGTGAGTGCGTACTGAAAGATACACAGATACAAATGAGTGTGCGTGTGTGTTTGTGGAGGCGCATTAGATGCGTGGCGATTGAACATTTGTCTTCGAGTTGGCCTTAACGACCACTTGATTGCACCGGCGACTTGGCCATAGAAATGGAAATAGTCGTATGAAAAGAATAAGAAGAAAGGCCACGAGAGTTCATTTTGTAACTGTCGAAAAGACTTTATTATGACCATCGCCCATTTCCGCTCATCTTTATAAGGCGAGGCGCCTCTTTTATCTGCCAACCAAACTTATAACACTTTTGGCCCGTCACAGCTGCCCCAAAATGTGGCACAATGTGGGCGAGGCGTTGACTAAGCACCGTTAATTGGCCATTGTGTGGGGAGCCAAGTGACGGCGGAGCGTATTATTGAACCAGCTCGTAAAACGTTTGATTTGCTTTTCATCAGGCCATAATCAAGTGTCAAGCAATTTGTTTTACGACAATGCAATATGAATACGCCAGTTCCCATTGACATTATATTGAGCTGGGTGGGCATCCAAGCGATGCTAGAACATGGCCAAGAAGGTGTTGAACCGCTTCAACTGCGCTTTTTTATGACTGAATCCCAATAAACTATATCAGCTGCCTTAATTATGCCCTATATAAAGGGTAAGAACCATATACTTCATCCTCTTCCAGTCCATTCGACATCTGCTTCAAACTAAATGTAGGAATAGGGTTTTTAAGGCTCGATTAGATAGATCTAGGGTCAAGTTTAAGGCTGCATTTTGAGGAAGACAGAGAAAGAAATATCCAAAGAAGAAAGCTTCAAGCAAAACGAAAAGACAACAACCTGAAAAAAAACAACTCTCGCAAGCACTTGAAATGATTTTGAACTTTCGCAGCAAAAGTAGCAGAAATCTTACCAAAAAAAAAAGCCAGAAATCAATTTACACTTCGGATTTGTGTTTTATATGCTTTTCATGTTTTTCTATTTATTTAACTATTTTCAATGGTGTTTAATTAATTTTTTTTTGTTTGTTTTGAAATTGTTTGTTTTGCTGTCCTTTTCGAGTGTCGGCTCAAAGTCCGCAGCTACTCGGTACGTCCAATTCGTTGTCATGTCCAACATTTGGCACATTTTATGCGAGCATTAACAGAGTTAAGTGAAATCCCATGTCACGTGTCAGAGAGCGGGCCGAAACAGAAAATTGAAATTGAAATCAATTGGGAATCGCGGCACTGAAATAAATATCAAGTCGAATGTTCATGTTCATAAATATGCTGCGAAAAGTAAAACAGTTTTTTTTTTCTTTTTCTTTTGGGCTGGCTTAGAAAGCAGAAGACACCGCCAGCTTGTTTTGGGGCAGAGCTGAAGAGAGCTGTCAGCTCGTCCGGCTCCGGCACTTGAGGCGACTCCGAGTCGACTTGAAGCAACTGCCAGGCAGTGCCTGACCCAATTTCCCATCTTGGCAATAGCATCCACAACCACATCCACAACCACATCCACAATCACAACCACAACCACAACCACATCCACATCCACATCTTAGTAGCCAGCGCAAAAAGCAAACTGTCAGCTCAGCCATTTGACAGTCGCTTTTGCGATACACAAGCTCAGATATGAGATACGATTGGCGTCCGTACTACGAGTACGACTAAGAGTAATCGTATCTTTGGCTACCAAGCAGCCAGCCCGGCCTCGCTTGGCCTATCTGTGCCGGCGATCTGCTCCTCCAGCGTCTGGCGGCGGCGCCCCACCAATTGAATCTTTTGCGCCGTTTTGGCGTATTTAAAGTGACATTCGCTGACAGTCGGACCCCAACTCCCGATGCGCCTTGTCCCAAGATGCCCAGATACAATGCAGGAAGCGACATTCATTGCAGTTGAAATCAAATTAAATTAATTACGTGGAAAGTGATCGCCGTAATTGTATTGTAGTTCCAAAGGTCTAATACACACAGTTGACCTTTAAACAATTACGAAACCCGACAATTTGACATGTACTTTGGGCAAAGATTAGATTAATATCTATGCCGAAAATCTCTGAATTCTATATCTCGATTTTAGAGTTTTAATTTTGTAGTTAATTGCGCAGCGAATACTAGTTGGGTTGATTTATTTTTTAAAATTTTATTTATTTTTTTTTTTGCTGAATACGTTTTTGTACAAATATTTTATCAATATGTTTATTCAAGAGTACTCTCTGTCTTCCTTCGGTTTCAATTGATTTGATATGAGTTTTATGCTTGATTTCTTCTCTGTGAAATGCCCTTTTGAGCCGAACAATGCCAGCATTTGTTTTGTAACTGAACTACAGCTAAATATCACACAGTTTCCTATAGGACATATGCTATAATATGTGAGTGGGGCCATAAAATGTCTGACACCTCGTGCAGTCCATAAACAGAATACAATTCGATCTGTGCACAACAAGTTTAATAGATAAAATACAAAAAAGAAACTTTCCTCTCGAGTTGATTTGACTCGATTTGATTTGATGATGCGCCCGAAAAAAGTTGCTCATTGCCGGCAATTGAATTGAATTGAGTTTATGGCTGACCATAAGTCGCATGCAGTCCGACTCAATGGGTTATCATTGTCTTTGGCCAAGTGGAGCAAATGGCTGGCAACTGGCTTTTCGCCTTATACGCGACACGGTTACGGTTATATCGGAAGTGTGTCAGCGATTGGCTGAGCAGCTAACCAGCAAGCACTTTACATAACTTTAGCCACGAGTATCTGCGAGTATCTGCAAGTATCTCAGTCCAAACCAGAAGTCGTTTAAGCAATTACAACTCTGCCGTGTGGACGGCAGCTGTGGGGCGTGTTTGGCTCCGAGAACTGTCATTAGATTAAGTGGCAGCTCACTGCGGTGGTTATCCTCTCTGGCTAATTATCGTTTGGAAATCGTGTTATTAGTAGCTGCACCACCAACAACAAAAAAAAAAAACAAAAAAAAACGCGAAGTATCTCAAAGTTTGTGATTGACACGCGCAGGCGACAAATCAACTTGCAACGCGCTAGTTGCAACTTGCAACTGGCAACGACAGCCAAAATGTTGTTGCCTTTTGATTCAAATTCAAATCGTTTGCATTAAAAATGCCATAAAAGTCGCTCGCGAAACCATTTTGGCCACATTCGAAAGCAAAACTCTGGCGATTTTTATCGCGCATGCAATTTATTTTTGGTCTGTGCGCCGTCTAATTGTCAACTCCAACAACAACAAATATGGCGTTAATTATCCACAATTTTGATAGCATCACGTATCCATGATTAACACAAAAAAACGCAATCAATCAAATGTATCTTTTACTCAGAGGTATGCGAAACATTGTAATTGCTAACTGAATGCAATTGCCGCAGTTGCTTTGTCGATTTCGGAAGATTTATATTATTTATGCGAATGTGACACCTGCACAGAGACGGACTGACACCTTTTTACACAGCTGGCCCACCGCAGGGTAATTAATCGATTGTGATTTCTCAGGAGACTATATTAGCTAGGATTGGAAACTTGAATGTTGCATGATCTTTAGCTATTATATTTCTTCGATCCATCGTAAACAAATCGATAATTAAAAAAAAAAAGCTATCAAAACGAAGCTCAGGACTCCGTTTTTTTATTAGAACTCTGATTTCTTGGATTTATGATTTGATTGAAGTCAACTGATAGCAGGTATCCCTGAGATATTTATCGATCTAAAGCTTCAATGTTGATAGATTTGTCGAATCTTATGTAACTATGATTATGCTGTATTAAATAATAACGAACTAAAAATCAAACAGAGTGAGAAAATAACAAGCTGTGGTCTAGCGACTCAGCTAGGTTCTATAAACTCAGCTTGCCATTTTGAAATTCCGGGAGCAACAGACATGGCTAGAACGACTTATTGACCAGGCATATGTGTTCTTCTGGGCTTATGTCTCTCAAATAAATTTGCACGAAATCGCTATTGGAAATGGGTATAATAATATCTATTGATCACGCTTAACTATATTTCCATTTAGAATCTGTTCACTTTCACTTACATATCCATTTACTTATAAGTATGCACAAATACCAATTTGCCTCGAATCGAACACTCGAACAATCGCATTATCAATGCACCCATTTGCACGATTGCCAACACTATTAAATAATAAATGTTGAACAGCTTGTGATTTGCCGGTGTTGTAAACAGCGTGAATACTTACAGCGCCACCTGCCGGTCGGTATGTGTGGCCCTCTAATTAACACGACAACGGGCAATTTATCAATTTTATCGATAGAACCTCGAAAACAATAAACGTCCACTAAGCCACAAGCTAATTAGTCGCAGTGCTTTCAATGTAGTTATGGATCAGGCCAATTGCAAATGGATAAACCCATTTCCCCTCCCCTCATTCACCCGCACCACACGGTTAATTGCCAGCTGCAAGTTGTTTATGCTGGCCACAATTTGTTTTTGCATATACTCGCGTGCACTATGCAAATGAACCAATCGCAACACAGTCTCCGCCATAAGTTAATTTACCTCTGATTTTCCTGTACCTGTTGCCAGCCTCGTCAATTGTTGTTTAGCTGCTTGTGGGCCGCTAATAAACGCAAATAGCTGAAAATTGTTTATTAAGTAGCGCAAAATATGTTTGCCTGCCGCAATTGCTTGACATTCATAGCTGTTTTACACCTGGCCAAGGCGGTGCGAACGATAGGTATTATTGGTATTAAAAGGTGAAATATATATGCTCCGCTTCTTAACTTTAATTTCCTTGAAATATGCTTATATTAAAGCTCCTATAACATTTGAGACTCGATTAACCTAACGTATACTTCATTTTTTTTAAAGGAAGAGAGATTATCAGATTTTCGCATAATTAATTCTCAGCAATTTTCATACCCTGCCTTATTTCATAGCTAATGCTTATCGGCAAAGATTTAATACGCTTTTCAGTTTCTGCCCAATTATTATTTAATTCGTTAAAAATTGATTTTCGGGCCTGTATGAAAACAATTCAAATCAAACACACCCACCTCAAATTG